AAAGAGTAAAAATGATGACAAACTTTGAGCTTTCCAGAGCGGTATCTTCCCTTTGCAGCCACGCTTGGACAAATAAAAATCAAATCTGCGCTTTCCAGAAAGCTTAATTAACTGCTGCCGCTTGTCAGTGATGATAATAACAGTAATTAAGTGCCATCGATACTTAAAGGCAATTTATTCAGCCGACAGATGCTAATAAATATTTCCACTTTTGCTCCAAGGACCGAATGACTGAGTCTGCATCAAAGAAGATTGAAAACATACAATCTGTGATCGAGAGACCCAAAAAATGTTGCTGTTTCTTGTTTGTTTGTTTTTTTAATTATGCCCTTCCCGTTAACATACAAACTTACTAAAATACACTCTTTAAAAGTAATCCCTATCATCTTTTGTCACTCTCTTACCATCAAAAAATGGGATTCTACAAAAAAACAAGCAAGTCTCCCTGTTTTTGAAGTTCGTTCCACCCGTGGCTGCGCGCAGGTGCCCAGACGCTCCTCGGCCCAGCACAGTGCGTCCGTGTCAGCTGCCCTGCAAGAAAGATTGCATCATGACCCCTTTCAGTGAGTGGACATCCTGCCCCGATGCCTGTGATGCAGGTAAGCCAAGCAAAACAAAAAAAAATATATTGCTTCTGAGCTCAGATTACTTTGCTGATGATGACTCATTCGGACGGCAGGGAAACAGACAGCGTTGTTTGTTTGTTTGTTTGGTTTTTCCATTCCAGCCCATTTTGCCTTCACTTGACATACTTTTTAAACGGAATTGGCGGAAATAATTTATCAGATGTTTTCTGGAGCAAGTCAACTTGTATAATAGGGCCACTGAACTCAAAATGTCTTTGATGTTCACGATAATGTGGACATTAATTACATTTGGTACACAGAGGACTGAATTGTCTTTGGTGTTTACGGAAACACATGTTGAGAGAAAATTCAAAATGTCTTTGATTTTTACGAGGATATGTTATTTTCATGGCTTACCAAAATGTACTTTCGGTTTATTGTCTTGTCTTCAATCCAAGATCAAGTGTCTTTGATGTTTACAAAATATGAACAGAGGAATTGCGTTTGATGTTTGTGGTGAAAAAAACATTTCTGGGGGACTCTTTTGTGTCTTTGTGTCAATTTTTTTTTTTTTTAATGAAAACATACTTTGAGGACTCTTTGATGTTTATTGAAGATTTCCCTTTTTTCTGAAAATGTGCATTGACTCTAAATTACCCTTGATGTTTGCAAAAACAAACACACTAGAGTTTCATCGAGGGCTCCAAATTGTCTTTGATGGTGACAAAAAATTTCCGGCGGGTTGAAAGTGGCCTCAAGATGTCTTTGATTTTATGAAAATATTTTCATTGTATTCTGTATGAGCACTCTAAACGACCTTGACCTTAGGTGCCCTTGATTTTTTCCAAAATATACTTAAAACTGATATGTCGGGTTCGTGAAAGACTCGAAATACGTGACTAGTTTTATGAGGACATTTTGACTTGTGTTATTGGTTGACGTCACAAACTGGCAGAGGCAGCATCAGACTCATTTGCTAGTCAACCCTGCGCACCCGTGCCTTCTTGTGTATAATTAATTTGAGAGATCGACGACCTCTGGATGACCTTGTTTTTTTTTTTCCCACCGTGTGTCAGCAAAGATGCCGTTGATGTTTGTGCGAGGAACAAGAGAAACACACTCAGGTTGCGGTCACGCAAACACTCGTTACCTCCCGCATTGACGACCTCATGGCATCAATAACTTTGCATTTTAATTGGATCATCTTGGTCAGTAAACAGATGCACGCCTGCCCATTTATTAGGTACACCTGAAAGCGTCTTAAAGCATCCAATACAAGAGTTTGCTCACAAAAATTGAAGATTCAAACTAGTCTTTGATGTTTACATAAATGCATTTTTTTTTCATTCACTGACGGCTTGACGCTGTCTTTGTAAGTTTTGTTTTGTTTTTTTATTTTTATTTCAGGGTTCCAGATGTTCTTTGATGTTTGCAAACATACTGTAAATGTGTTTTTATGTATGTTTACGAAAACACACGGTCAGTTCCCTAAAGACCTACATTAGGTGAATCGAGGATGCAAATTTTCTTTGTTTACGCCCGTACTATAAATTGTCTTTGTTGCTGTGTACCTGTGAAACTAAATTTAGCTCATTAGACGCCGTTTTTTTTATCTTGACACCAGTCCTGTTCGATGTGCAGCTCAGAATCAATTCTCGAGGTGTTTGCGTGAAAACAGCTGAAGTTTAGCCTGTTCGACGTGCTTCTCATCACGTGTCAAATTTCTCAGCTGGTAATGCCATGAAGACCAAACAATACAGAAAGCGTCTGGTCATCCAGGCGCCTTCCAACGGAGGTCAAGATTGTCCTGAAGTGTTGGAGGAGGATCGAGAATGTCAGCCACCGCAAACGTGTCCAGGGTTCAGGTAAACACAAACTACGTTAACTCATCACAACATAGTGGCCACTGAGCTTGGGTAAAGGGTTGCAAATAAGCGTTAGGGTTTCAAAGCAAGGTTAGGTTTTTTTTTTTTTTTTGTATTGAGTATTTTAAGTCAATTAAGGATTCAAATTGGGGTTCTGAGAAAATGTACTTTGTATTAGGGTTTCATGTCAGGAATGGGTTGGGTTTTCAAGTGATGGTCAGGTTTTTCAGATTGGCGTTTCAAGTTTGGGTTAGGGTTGATTTTCTAATAAGTATTTTAAAGCCAGTGTTACAGTTTCAAGAGAGAGGTTAAGTTTAATTGGGGTTTTATGTTGGGTTTCAAGACAGTGTTCTGGTTTCAAATTAGGGTTTTGAACCAGGGTTGGTGTTTCAAGCCAGGCTGAGCCTATGTAAGTTGGGTTTGAAACATGGGTTAGATACAAGATACCAACCCATGTTGGGGTTTCAAGTTAGGTTTTCAAACATGGGTTAGGGTTTCAAATTGGCATTTTATGTCAATTAAGGATTCAAATTGGGGTTCTGAGAAAATCTTCAAATTAGCCTTTTAAGGCAGAGTTACGGTTGAAATGAGAGTTTCAAACCAGAGTTAGGGTGTCAAATTTTGCTTTCAAGCTTGAGTTAGGATGTCACGTGATCAAGCAATTGTTCGGGTTTCTAATTTGCGGTGCATGTCAGGGTTATGATGTTAAACGTGGGTCAGAGTTTCAATTTGGGATTTCAAGTCAAGGTTGGCGTTTGAAGCGTGGTCGGAACGGAAGAAAATGTTCAGGTTTCATGCCGGTCAGAGTTTCAGTTTGGGATTTCAAGCCAAGATTAGGGTTTCAAGCCAAGGTTGGCGTTTGAAGCATGGTCGGAACGGAAGAAAATGTTCAGGTTTCATGCCAGGGTTCGAGTTTCAATTTCATGTTGCTATGAAGCATGAATGATTCAAATGAGTCTTTCAAGCCTGGGTTAAGGTTTCAAGCAAATGTTCGCATTTCTTGTTCTTTTTCTCTGCAATCTTTAAAAAGATGGTAAATATGTTTGTCTCCTCACATCTGTGGAAATATCTGCTGTTCGTGTATGTTTGAATATTAATAGATGCGCGTGGCACCTTGTTTGGGCGTGTTGTCAGGTGTAATAAAAAGTGATGTGTGCAAAGGGACGCGCGTCGGGATGACTAATTAAGTCACAGTCATGCGGTGAGCGCCTTTGATGAGGCCTGCCTGCTTGTTTGTTTGTTTGTGCGCTCACTCCGAGACGCCGCTAATAAACATGAGGAATGCTTGTCTTTGATGACCTCACAATCACGTGGCAGCGCTGACTTCACGTCATGTTTCCTTTCACTTCACCACACGCCAGTTAGTACTGCCGGTGACGTGAGTGGAAATGCAATCACAGTGGTGTCTTGAGATACAAGTGGGTCAACTTGGGAGCCTTTCGGGATCGGAGCCGTCGATCGGATGATGATTTTGCTTTCACCTGTGAGCATGAACTTGAGATTCAAGCGCTGTGTGGTGGCATCACAAGAAGCTACAATTGGTCCGTTGTAATGAATAAATATCCTTTAAAAAGAGCGTTCAAGCTATTTATTGCCACTCATGGTTGAAGCTTACCTTCAAACAACCATGTTGCCTCCGCTACACTCATGCTAACATACAATAGCAAACTCCATTGGCACATGGGCTAACGATTAGCATCGATGTGACGGTGTTACCCTTTAAGCAACAGATATGTAAACACAAACGGTGCGAGACATACCAATAACAATAGTCATAGGCACATATTCTTTATCCTCTGTGAAGGACTAATATTTCCGCTCTAATGAGAAGAGTATTGTCATAGGTCTGTCTTATACTGCTACCACGGGGCCAAAGCCTGTACAACAGAACGAGCAGCACAATGTGCATTGAAGGAGAAAATATGACAACAGCTGTTCGTTTTATTCAACGTGGTGCTACACTATAAGATAAGATATCCTTTATTTGTCCCACACTGGGGAAATTTACAGCCTTCAGCAGCAAGATTGTGGGTAGAAAGAAGAGAAAAGAAAATACAGTTCAATTAAGTGCAATATAAATACAAATATGGATAAGGTCAATAAGTTCAATTAAGTGCAATATAAATACAATAGTCACAGTACTATTCACATTCACATTTGTTGTCATATCATTTAAATAATTTTATGATTTATTTATTTATTCATTTTTTATTCAGCAGCCTGACAGCAGTCGGTAGGAACGAGCGGCGGGATCTCTCCGTCTTGCAACGCGGGGGTAACAGTCTCTGACTGAAGGAGCTACCGAGGGCGGGCTGGAGGGGGTGGGGGGGACTGTCCAACATAGCTTTTAGCTTAGCTAGCATACTGCTGTTGCCCACCTCCTCCAGAGTGTCGAGGGAGCAGCCCAGGACAGAACTAGCCTTCCTGACTAGTCGCTCCAATCTCTTCCTGTCCCGGGCCGAGATGCTGCCTGACCAGCAGACAATGCCATAATGGATGTCCGAGGCCACCACCGAGTTATAGAAAGTCTTAAGGAGTGACCCCTGAACCCCAAAAGACCTCAGTTTCCTGAGTAGGAAAAGTCTGCTCTGACCTTTCCTAATCAGGGTGTCCGTGTTAGTCGACCATAGGTGTATATATATATAGGTGTGCAACTCTAAATTCAGAGTGGCCTGTGTACTATAAAATAAAATTTCTTTAAAATCATTGCTGTTTCGGCGGCGTAAATAATGAGCCACAATGTAGTTGTGGCTCACTACCTGTGAGTTTATCAGCGAATAGCTGAAAATAGCTTCCACGGGGGGAAAAAGGGAATCTGTGAATTCATTACTTGCCACTGCAAGCATGCGGGGGTCGACCGTATTGTCTATCTTGTGTTTTGATCTCCTCCAGGTGGAAGTCCCACAAGTGGAGAAAGTGCCAGCTGGTTCCTTGGTTCCTCAGGCAGGACCGACCCGGCGCTCAGGAAAACTGCGGTCCGGGACTTCAAACACGAGGTACGTAAGCTTAGATCGCACTTGTAGAAACACAACTCTGCATTTCTTCCCTGGGCCTTCAGTGGGGACGTAACCGACGTAATCCGCCTCCTAATATCACCGCTATCTGTTAACGCAATTGCAGAAACCATCAAGACTCTTCAAAAATGCAATCTCTTAACAACACACAGCTGTGTCACGCGCATCAACTGGAGCAGTTTACAATCAATATTTATCACATTTTGAAGCCACTCTTTTAACTAATCCTCACCTCTATGGTAGCAGGTTGAGTTGATAATGGAAGATGGGGAAACCGTGCTAACCGCTAAGCTAACGTGCAATGCATGTTAGCGAAATACCAGAATAAGTGCTTAGCTGCTACATCAGACTTTTACAGCGGAGAGTAAACCAGTTATGAACAATAAAGGATTGTCTAGAGAAAAAAAAGGAAGAAGACAACCGCTACATAGCAAACATACAAATCAGAAAATCGAAAAATATATAGTGTGTTAAATATTTATCAGCAATGTGCTGAGTTTTAATTTTACACTTTTGAAATACGTGCAATAAATGCTCTCATAATCACATCATATCTGATTTTTGGCCATATTGCCCAGTCCTCAGGCCAACACGTGAAGGCTGAAATCTGATTGGACCAAAAAAAAAAATTTACACGCACACATATTGGCAGCAATACAGCCAAGAATAATGTAACCAAATGAACAGAATGGAATGGAAACAAATCCAAATGAGGTTGTCGTCGTAGGTCTGCGCTTCTTTTTCAGACCACATGCCACCATCTCAAATCCTCACATTTATACCTAGAATGATGCCTCTTGAGGCTCACTTGACAGTCTGGATTATTGGTGCTCATTGCTTCGTTCACTTCAGGCCCCCGCCATGCATTTTTAATCAAAGGTGTCTTCTTGATGTTTGGGAGGAGGCGCAGAACAGGAAGTGAGAAGCTAAACGTCATCTTGTTTCTTGACAGCGCATGATGCTGGGTGGGTGAGGAATCCCGGGTGGCTTTCATGAAAATTCAATTTCAGGGGTCACGCCCAATAATCAATTTCATTATGTTCTCGCCTCGAAAGAGAACCACGAGGAGTGTTTATATTATATTTCACAGTCTTTCCTTGTACTTCGTTTTGTGAAAGGATTAAAATGTATGTCAAGAATTGTCTTGCTGGTCATGAAAACACTTGAGTGAGCTTCAGCGGACTCTTAATTTTTTTCTGAAAATGTGCATATTGTTGAACTAAAACCTTTGAACGTAATTGGTCTCCTTTGACTTCTTCTTATTGTGGCCGGCGGCGCATCCAGCCGTGTCGTGTCGGCAGCTGGACGGGACACAGGTGGACGTGGGCGAGTGTCTGCAGCTGGCCCGCAGCATGCCCGCTCTCACCCAGCGCTGCCAACTGCCCTGCCAGGACGACTGCCAGCTCACCAACTGGTCCAAGTTCTCGTCCTGCTCGGCCGATTGCGTGGGCGTGCGCACCCGGAAGAGGGCGTTAATCGGTAAGCCTCTTGGTCATCACATACAGTCGTACGTTGGGATACGTTTGACCCATCACCCAGTTTATTGCCCCTCCCGGATAGATCCCTGTCCAACTACACCTAAACCAAAGAGAATGAAACGCTCATTTAAAACTTATCACATCGCTTGTGTCATGCCTTGTGTCCACTCTCACAGGGAGGAGCAAGAAGAAGGACAAGTGTAAGAACACTCAGATGTACCCCCTGAGCGAGACGCAGTATTGCCCTTGCGACAAGTACAACGCCCAGCCGGTGGGCAACTGGTCCGACTGCATCCTGCCCGAAGGGGGCCGCTCCGAAAGTGCCCTGGGGCTGAAGGTGACGGGCGACGTCAGGGAGTGCGGACAGGGCTACCGATATCAGGCCATGGTCTGCTACGACCAGGATGGACGTCTGGTGGAGACTGCGAGATGCAACAGTCACGGTAAGACATCAAAGGCGTTGCCATTGTACTTGTTCCATACCTCCTTGCTTGGCTCTTGAGCGGTCGCTTTTCCATTTACAATGGAACTGCTTTTCAGAACCTTCTGAGGTGGTTCTAAAATGCAGGCTGAGTTGAGTGATGCGGACACCCATTTCCTGGTTTTAAAGCCAGTGAGACAGGCAGGGTCGGTGGTCGAACCATATTTGCTCTTTCATACAGCATGTACTAAGGCAAGGGTGTCAAACTCATTTTAGTCGCAGGCCAATTTGGAGTTATGTCTTCCCTCGGAGGGCTGTTATGACAGTGAAAACACAAAATTATTACTTGTACAAAACAAATTAATAGTTTGCTAGTTTTGAAATCAGTCAGGTCGATTAAAATAGTTCAATTATTGTTCAAGTGAGGGGAAACAGGGTCACAAAATTATTGCAAAATCTCAACGTTATTTATTACACATGAAGATTTGACATTTTGGAACGGATCTTAGCTCGTTGTTGTTTTCTATTATGTCAGGAGAATGCAACACGTCAGCTTTTTGGCGGCAACAAAAAAAAGCAGCAACCGACGATTTTTACCTTTCAAAACAACTTTCTTGAAATCGGGTTTTCCTATTCAAGTCAAATATCTAATTGTATTTGACACTATATTTAATTGAATTTTACCATATTTATCTGTATTCATTGTCACTTTTTTATGCACTTTTCAACCAAATTATTTTCTTTATTTAGAATGCAGTGTAAAATAATTTGAATTATTTTTTTCTATTGATTTGACACAGTTTCTATTTTTATTTTATTTTTTTATAATTTTTTTTTATTACTATTCAAAAACATATTTGATTCCTTAACAACTTGAAATTGTTTATAAAGACTTGACAACAATATTACCGTGTTTTTTTTTTTTTTAATCTCCACTTTATTGAGCATAAAAACGATTTGAATGATTTGAACAGTCGAGCTTGTCGTCACAAATTAGTTGACTCTGATATGCAGGTGTAACTAATTTTTGGACCAAGGTTGTATCTTATTGCAGCTCCTGTCACCATAACTTGAGGTCGGTGAAAGGCTTATCTGAGGCGAAGGGGCTTTTGTTTGACAATTTAGGAGGCCTCCTTTTCCGCCGCGCTCCGTCGGCGTCCTTCCCGTCCGACTTGTCAGCTCTTATCTGGGATGGGAAGTACTTCAAGCGGAGAAATCTGCAGACTGGTTGGGAAATTGCTGCCAAACAGAACGTGCAAGACATTTGAATCATATGAATGCAAAAAAAAAAAAAAGATTTGTTGAATTTCTCTCGGTGGTCCAGTGGTTAGCGCGTCGACCTCGCAGTGCAGAGGTACCGGGTTCAATTCTGGCTCTGGCCTCCCTGTGTGGACTTTGCACTCCCGGTCCTCCGCTTTCCTCCCACATTCCAAAAACATGCATGGCAGGCTGATTGAACACTCCAAATTGTCCCTGGGTGTAAGTGTGAGTGTGGATGGTTGTTCGCCTCCCTGTGCCCTGCGATTGGCTGGCAACCGGTTCAGGGTGTACCCCACCTACTGCCCGAAGACGGCTGGGATAGGCTCCAGCACCCCCCTTGCGAGGATAGTTGGATCGGAAAATGGATGGATGAGTTTCTCTCACTTTATTCTTCGTCTTCACCGACATTGTTTCTGTCAGACGTGCCCTTTTTTTTTTCTTTGACGTGATGCCTGCAGCCAAGATGCCAATCATCTTCAGTGTTGCTGTTATCTTCTTTTTTTTTTTTTTTTTATTTCTGCCCTCAATTCAAAAAAAAGAAAAAACGTATTGTGAAAAGGTGCCATTGAGGAGTCAAAAATGTCAAGAATGTTTCGAAAAACACCACATTGGGTTTGTTGGAACACTCAGGTGTGCCTTTTATGTTTACGGGAACATCATCACCTCCATCAGGTTGCTTGAAGTCCAAATTATTTTTCGTGATATTGTTTTTGAATTAAATTTATTGAGGAAATGCTCACGTTAACTTCATTCATTTTCCCGGGGGGAAAAAAAAGTATGTTCAGTTTCTTTTGAAGGTTCTGAAAACATGATCGCATACAGTTTTGAGGACTCGGTTGTCTGTGTTGTTTACGAAAACGTTAGTTGCAGTTTCTTTGCTGTTCACAAAACATTCGAGTTTTCTGAAATGTCGTTTATCACTCATTGTGTTGTGTTGTGTTCTCCTTTTGTCGTCAACATTGCTTGTGTTGGATGTGACCTTGCATCTTTGGTGACCCAATGCCTGCAGCTGTGATGCCAATCATCTTCAGTGTTGCTGTTATCTTCGTTTCTATCGATTAGGTCCCGATTAAAAAAAAAAAAAAAAAAGAGTGCATCGCCCGAAGGTAACCATTGAAGTAATCGTTTTTACAATGCAATCAGAAGAGTCAACAGAGATGTTTTCGAAAACATTTCGTGAGGTTCATGGAGCACTCAGATTTGTCCTTCATGTTGACAAAAACATTAACGTCAAACTAAAGTGCTGCCTGCGTTCCTGACAACGGGTATGTTGGTTCATGGAAGACTAATTAATCTTTGATGTTAAAAAAAAAATACAAATGCCAGGGTTTTTGTTAAACTCCAAATTAAATTGGGATCAGTGTTAATTAAAAACAAAAGTGTTGGTTAGCTTAATTGAAGTGTATGTTAACAAAAAACACATTCAGGAGGTGTGCCCAAACTAATTTGTCTTTGATGTCCCCAAAAAACATGTTTGACTTCAATCAAAAATTAAGAAAAAAAGTAGTCACTGGTGACTCGAAATTGTCTTCAGTACAGTGGTACCTTGACTTATGAAATAATTGGCTCTGGAAGAACCCAATTATTTCAAAGAGCCAATTATTTCAATTCACATTTGGTTCAGTGATGCCAAAGGTGTCTTTGATATTCACACAGCAGCACTTTGAGATGACTTTGCTGTTCTTGTAGCAAAGAGGAATGCCAGTGGCTGCAAAAGCTTCGGTGTTACAATTTATCTTCGGTTTTAGACAGCACACGCACGGGTTTCCAATGCTGTTGTTTTTCAGCAGACCCAGGGGAGTGCAGTTTATTGTTGTTCCGCCTTCGATTAGCAAAATCAATGAGCGTGATGAGGCAGCAATCCGGAGTGTCTCACTCACAGACATACAAGTGTCACTTAATCCCCTTCGCATGAAAACATGCACTGTTCTTCTCATGATTGCACTTTCAAAACATGGCAATTACAATTCTACAATTTTCCTACGGTAGTCAGACTTTCCAAGACAGACGCAACAAAAATTGCTGTGAGACAGAACCCTGGGGTTCTCCAAAAAACCCTACTTTTCATGGAATAAAACCAAACAGTATACTGTACTGCTGAACACTAGACCATCAAATTTCGTATTACACCTTATATTGCTGTCAATTTTTGTTGCACACGAACATCAATAGAACACCTCCACGTTCATTCACGAATTTAATTTGCAGAGAAAAAAATTATTTCACTGTCATCGATTACAATGTTACGGACACATTGCCGCCGCGGGCAGTGCCAATTAAAAGTCTGTGGTCGTGCCGAGCCCCTGACAAGAGAAAAGGCCTTTGATATTTAACCAAAGTTAATGACTGTGATTACATCATCTTTCCATCCTCTATTTCAAAGATCTCGAGCCATATGTGATGCAATTTAAAAAGGGGGGGGGGGGGGGGGGGGGGAAAAAAAAAAAAAAAATGATGAGCTGACTCCGCTGGCTAATAGGTGGAAATAAATTTGTCAGCAACTGACTGTACCTTCGTAGCTGACTGCTTCCTTCTGCTCCGGAGCATTACGGCTTTCAAATTTTAACAAAGCAGGCCTACTCAAATATATTTAAGAAGACTATTTTCATTTGTTATTGTCGAAACAGCAAACAGACTTTCAATATTGAGGCTTTAAAAAAATCGTAGAAAGGGTTCTGTCAGTCGTCATCTGTACCTGACTGACAGAACCCTTTCTACGATGGAACTTTCCTGTACGACTGAGAGCCTCCACAAGCGGCTTTAAAAAAAAAAATGCCGTGAAGTTGGGAGTCAAGAAGAGGCGGAGTTATACGACACTTCTCAGATGGTTGTTCAATTAAGTTAATATTTCCAACACTTTTGTTTGGTTCATCAATTGTTAAAAATAACAGACCACGTGGGGACTGACCAACAGAATGGATTTGGGGAGAAATTTTAAAAAATGACCAAATATGCACCTATGGATGCACAAATGTGCACAGAGTCATCAAGCAATATGAAATTCCCGGCACATTTAATAGTTTTCTGTCAAGAATGTATCTTAGATAAATACTGTAAGGTATTATTTTGCCCTGAAAAGCCCTTTCTTAGTCTTATTTTTGCTGTTTGTGTCATGAAAAGCACACAGTAGTGGTGCCAAAGTGACTCTTCTGCTTGACTTGTTTCTTTTCACAAAAAGCTTCTTGTGTCCGCTTTTTGGTAATTGGTAATTACTGTCTGGCAAAAGAAGAGTGTCTCCTCTTTTCAGTTCAGCTCAGTTTTTAAATTGGAATTTTGCTTTCAAACTAGCTGGCAGTCAATGAGTTCCGATGTTTCGCATTTCAACCCTTTTTTTTTTTTCATGCTTAACTCATTTACAAGCGCATCACTGCCACCAATTTATCTTATTGTCTCAGAGACCAAAGTGCCCGAAATTTGGACTCATTTGAGTCAGACGCGGAAATTCTAAAACCAAATTCACATTTTCATCGCGGAGCCAAGCAATAAAATGTGACTCATTCACTTGTCGGGTTCTGCCAGGTGTCTTCTTGCGCACTCCTTAAGTGGAAATGAGTCACCGTCACGCAAGAGATTTAGTGCGCTCAACAGGTAGTTGGCCCTGGAAACTGTCTATGTAGTATGCAGATGAGACACCTGATTTACGAGGGTGCACGCCTTACTGGGCAATGCACTCTCTGCAGGGGTCAGTGTACTGTGCATAAAAAGAAGACGGAGGCACCATAGGTTGGTCAACAGCAAATTTTAATCAGAGATGACTTCATATATCTCGAAATGCATTTTCGACACTGATTGAAAGAAACAAAAAAGTCTACTTTTTTTTCATATAGTACATCAGGTTTTTGAGATTTGATGATCGAGAGGCGGCACGGTGGGCGACTGGTTAGCACGTCCCCCTCAAAGTGCAGAGGGGCAGGGTTCGGCTCCGGCCTTCCTGTGTGGAGTTTGCAAGACATAATGTCAAACGTCTGCAGTGCAGCATCAACTACTGGCAAAAAAGACTCATGAAATGTCAGATTTTATTGCCTTAAATATCGGCGTCTGGTATCGGCATCCTTCATAATTATTCGATATGTTGAAATAGGGCCGCTATTGGTCTGATACGTTGCATCGATACTTGCCCATCCCTAATATCCACATTAATCTGTGTCCATGGTGAAGGTGAATCTATTTCATAGCTATTCCTGCTAACTGCATTGACATGAGAACATCAAAACAACAAAAGACGAGTGGGGTGAATCTTTTTTTCTTTTTTGCTGTTTGTGGTAATGTGGGAGGATCTTAAACATGTCAAAGACACATCTGCGGTGAATCTTTTTCATTGTGATTTCTACTAAGGCATGTCTAGAGTTTTTTTTTTTTGCTTTCTGTGGCGATGTGGGAGGATGTTAAACATGTCAAAGACACGTTTGACCAAAAAAACAAAAACAAAAAAACCTAACAAACAAAAAAACCCCCATCAAGAGTAATGTCTTTTGACTTTGACCTGGCAGGTTACATCGAGGAGGCATGCATCATTCCCTGTCCATCCGACTGCAAGCTGAGCGAGTGGTCCAACTGGTCTCGCTGCAGTAAATCGTGCGGCAGCGGCGTCAAAGTGCGCTCCAAGTGGCTTCGGGAGAAACCCTACAACGGGGGACGACCCTGTCCCAAGCTGGACCACGTCAATCAGGTGCGGAACCTGCATAGGAATATTTGCCATTTTTTTAAATTTGGGAATTCACCCAATTTGCTGTAAAAGTATTTCTTTGATACCATTTTGTGCTAATTTGGTGCCAAGAACTTTTGTCGAAGTGAGTTGAGGAGCTTCTATGGACAGTGGTTAAATTATTTTTCGTTGTATGTCAATTTGTATTCTCAAGGTATGTCAATTTGTATTATATTTGTATTATTGCGGCAGGGATTTCTGCCTGATGCGGTGGTTATTTGAGGTACAAGTTTCGATGGTGGTTTCTCAAAACACTTGTATCTTCAGTCATTTTCACAATTGAAATAAAACTGCAAACACGGAAGAAGAGAGTATGAAACATGACTGTACCTAATGTTTTGTCCTGCCTCGTTTTTCTTCTGTGGATACAATTGGCGGTCGGCAAACCAGGTTAATGGTGCGTTCGTGCCAACAACTGATTTTGTCCTTCACCTGCAAGGAAACAAATGTAAATTGATGGTGGCCAGATGAAGTGAAGTTTGCTGCCCCCCCCCCCCCCCCCCCCCCCCGTCTCATGGTGCTGGTCTGAAGCACATTTGTCTTTCTATTTTTATGATTTTGTTTGTATCCCAAGACTAAAAAAAATGACCCAAGATTCGGTTCAGATCACAAATAGCTCATACGTGAAGGCACTCATTCCTCAAGTCATCAATGTCCTGTCAAAATAACAAAGAACAAAATTAAACATGGACCAGTAATAAAAGACAGCTTTCTCCATGTTACATAATAATATCGAATGCCATTCACGGTTTAATCTTCAAACAGCTGCTACTTTAACAAACACGAAGCAGCAAAACAAACAGAACATAAGATAAGATAAGATAAGAAAACCTTTATTAGTCTCGCAATGGACCTTTAACATGCACCACTACTCCCAATATCGTCTCTACACTTTAGACTGGGACCTTCTCTGCCTCATTTTGCTGTTATTACGCGACATCTCTTCCAGTAGACCTTCGCGCAGTTTGGCATGTTGTGACTCAGTGTGGTCTGACAATGAAAGGCACGCAAATTAAAAATTCCAACTTGCCTTTATAAACCTCATTTGAGCCAACATTGTTATTCCAAAAATAATGGCCTCGCCCCCAGTGCGCAGTGGAGTGCTTTTTTATGACAGTGTGACGATGCGAATGGTGCAGAGAGCAGTTGATTATTAATGAGTTACCAGCTGAAGCTTGCTCTGGTTATTGCAGCTCTTGCACATTTTTTTGCTGAGCAGCGACTGTGCTGAAAATGTCCACCTTTCACACTCTTAGTGTCAGTGCTAATGTGAACGGTAAAGGCCCAAAGTGTCGCCCTTGTGCTCTCACTCAGCTTTACGCCACACTTTCCTATCTGTACTCTGTATGCTGACACACAGATGAACTGAATGGTGAGTGGATCCTACAAATGTAGACACAAACAAAATCCATAACAAAAATAAGGCAAAAAAAAAAAAAGGTAATAGTAAAGCTGAGAATAGAGACGAAATGACAAGAGTCCAATTACAGGAAAACAAAACGAGCGGGTTCAAAGACAAAATATCGGGACTTACAGAAGAGGGACAAAAGCAAAAACAATAATGACAAGATTGAAAGATCTAAATTTAAAAAAAAAAACAACACTTGAGGATTAGCAGCAAACAAGTTCAATAATCCGACAGAGAATTGGCACTGAGGCAGTCCTTAAAATACATGGCTAGCTGTTAAACACTGGCAGCAGGTGTGCACGCAGAAGGACAGGCCCTCCTCTGCCACCTGCTGGAAACACACAAGAACAGAATCTTGACATATGCGCTGTGCGAACAGAGTACAGATAGGAAGACATAATGACTTACACTATGATATGTCTTAAGTTATGTATGTTTGTCTGTGAATGTGTGTGACTACTGTATAAATGTGTATACGTGAATGTGTGTGGGGCGGGGGGTGTATTACTGTATGAGTTACAGATTTGTGTGAATGTACCGCATTGGATATGTGCGTGTATTCTCATGACATCCCGTGCTTTGTTAAATTAATGAAGCTGTGTTCCCCGTCCAAACATTTTGCTCATTAATCCTTCTGTCTCCTTTTAATCCTGCTCCACTGGACTTCTGGACGATGCCGACTGCCGCAGGCTCAGGTAACTACTACGATATTTTCCTCACCTCTTCTTGTTCTGCTTCTACAACGGCATGTTTATGAATAACTCCATGACAGCTATCAATCATAAAAGGTATCGATGAAGGTATGCGTCGGGTCCTCAGGTGTACGAGGTTGTGCCGTGCCAGAGTGACTGTAATCAGTACGTGTGGGTGGCCGAGCCCTGGAGTATGTGGAAGGTCAGCAATGTGGACCTGAAGGAGAACTGTGGAGAAGGCGTGCAGACCAGAAAAGTCCGGTAGGCATCACATGCTGTGTTACACTGTATTATTTTTAGCTTAAGTTGTAAAAAAAAAAAAAAAAAAAAAAAGATTCATGTCTGTATGCATATTGTTCTTTGTTTACTAGACACCCTTGGAAATAATTTCTCAGTTCAACCTTGCTGTCAAAGTGCCTGTTGTAAAGATTTTTTTTCTTTTTTAATTCTTTTTGGTATACACACACACACACACACACACACACACACACACAAATATATATATTTGACTATTGTAATTAATTGAGCATCTCCCCAACTGACAAACTAACAAACTAACCAATCATCAAACAAACAAACAAAACAACTAATTAACCAGCCAAACAAGCAACTAGCCAAATAACTGACTAACTGAACAACAAAATAACAACTCAACAATTCCTGAGCTAGTTAGCTAGCTAGCTAACTAACTAACTAACTAACTAACTAACTAACTAACTAACTAAGTGAACAACTAACTCGACACAACAAAATAATAACTCAGCAATTACTGAGCTAACTAACGAACTAACTGAACAACCAACTGGACACAACAAAATAACAATTCAACAATTCCTGAGCAATATGACTCACGAACTAACTTAGTAACTAACTAAGTAAACAATGGCAAACAAATAATAAATAAATAAATACAAAATAAATGACTATGCTGACTGACCAACGAACAACACACAAACCAACTGACGAACCATCTAACTAACTAACCAACTCATTTGCCAACTAACTAAACACCTACTTGCCAACTGACCAAACAACTAAATAATTGACTACTTCGAATTATAATCTAACACACTCACAAACTATTTAAATATCAAAGTAATTGACCAGCTAACAGAACAACTAACAGACCAACTGACAAGTCAAGTCTATACAGCCCTTAAACACAAAAGGTCTGTCCAAGCAACTTGCTCAACAACCAAATACTGTAACCCACGAACCTTCTATTGCTCTACCTATCTCTGTCGCTCCACCGGGGCCTCCTAATTGTGTTCTCGCTGCGGACAGGTGCATGCTCAACACCATCGACGGGCCCTCGGAGGCGGTGGAGGACTACCTGTGCGATCCAGAGGAGATGCCCTTGGGGGCCCGAGAGAGCCGGCTGCCCTGCCCTGAAGATTGCGTACTCAATGACTGGGGTCCTTGGACCCGCTGCACCCTGGTGAGAACGCAGACCAGCTCTCGTAATGTCACAAATATTTACTGGGAGTCTGTATTGTGTTTGTCAAGAGACGTGTGCACTGAGACGTTACAGGAAAAGTGTTTGATACATCAAACATACAAACGCTTGACAGCGTATTCATCTGGGAGGCAAAATGATTGATGACACATCATGCTCGACACTACACTCGCACGCACACACACACACACACACACACACACACACACACACACACACACACGCACGCACGCACACCCACTACACAAAAATCCATGTGACTGTGTTAATGTAACCCCATAATGACTACAGCGTCCCTGAGTACAAGGTGTCTGCCGGGCCTCAAAAAGTCTTAACTCTTAATCCTTAAATCCGAAACGACGGGGTTATCAAAGTGGCCTCAAAAATGGTCTTAGAAAGACTTAAATGTGGCTACAGTCAAGCACAGGCCTCCCAAAAAAAAATTCATTTGATAATGCCCTGTAGGGGGCAGTAGTTTACAGTCCAAATTAGGTGCAGAGTCACTCACGAATTGAATAACCCCAAGAAAATTACCCAAAGCCTAACTAATTGAATGACGAACCAAACAACCAACAATTTAACAGAACAACAAACTGAACATCTCACAAAACAATTGACCAACCCATCAACTAACCAACCAAGTGGCCAACTAGTTTACTAACTAATCAACCAACTGACACAACCAACTAACTAGCCTACTGATCAACTCATTTGCTTACTGGCCAACCTCCTAGCCAACCAGTGAAATAATCAACTAACTTACTAACCCACTAACTAACCAGCCCCCTGCTAAGCAACTTACTGTCTGATGAACTAATTGACAACCAATCAGAGTGACCACTGAACTGACTAATTGGCTGACTTACAGACAGACCACCAACCGACGAACGAATTGGCCACCAAACTTACTACCAACGAAGCAAGTAATTCACTAACTAACAAATCAACCAATCCATTTTATGAGGACAAAAAGTCAATGTTTAGTGGTTTAGAGAATAAGGTTTGCTGTGGGTTAGATTGATATTTGAGCCATTAAATGCGTTTTTGCACAGCCTAAAAAACCGCCGAGGAGAACATTCCACAAATAGGAAAAACTTCGGCTTCCTTCCCCAGGCTTGTGCTGTAATACTCTGAATCAATATGAATCCTGCACTCAGATACCGTCGTCACCCTTAAAAGTTTGCCACCATTTTGGCTCTAATCTATTCCACTCGTCGTTCCGTAAGCGCCCGCGTTGAATATGAGAACATTTCCCAGGAGGCGGCAACGCTCCAAGCCGTTAGCGCACTTCCCCAATTCACGGTGCCTAATTGGACCGCGGGGCTCTTGAATCAAGAGAAAAAAAGAAAAAAAGAAATGTTGACTTTTCATATTTTGATGAAGAAACATTCCCAGAAAGCTGAACTGAGACGGCGAGGATGTGAGCCAGATTGTGACGGTGGGTTAACCCCGAGAACGAAGTCTGAAGAATCTCAATCTTATCTTATTATTTATTGTATTTTGTTAGTTGATCCACGACTAAGTTAGTTGCTCAACTGGTTTAGGTAGGTGGTCAGGTGGTGACTCAATTAATTGGTTGCTTGTTTAGTCAGTCAGTCAGTCAGTCACGCTCGTGGAGTGGGATTTTGGAGGGAGAATGGGATGTGATGCAACAGTTGAGAAGAGCCATCAAAATGTCTGTCGTTTTTAAATTCAAAAAAAAGATGTGCACGACAGCTTCCGTGTTTCTTCAAGCGAAGGAACAAAGACCTCTGTGTAGGTGCGTGTTGACAGGTGGCTCGACGTCAAAAGCGCAAAACGTCAAAAGCTAGCTAAGCGAGGTCAGCATGTGGAAAAATAGCTCTGCCGACTTTTGCATGTTTCTCAGTATTTGTGCAAGAATTGTGGAAGAATTGAACCAAAATCAAGTTAAAGAAGTTGAATACCCACTTTTTTTTTTTTTTTTTTTGCCTGGTTTCAGCCATGCACCAGAAGCAACGGTCGCATTCGTACCGCGTACACGTTACGCTCGCCTAGCGCGGGAAGACTTTGTCCTGACACCATTGAAGAAGAACCCTGCAGCCTCAACCTCAACTGCTTCAACTACTTCTACAACATCACAGGTAAGCCCCGTCACCTAATGGATAATGTTGTAGGCTCATCTTGCTAATGCTATGCTACTCAGTTTTAGTGGCATAGCATTAGCAAGATGAGCTGACAACAGCATAGCATTTATTTACAAACAAACATGCCTGGCGATTATTAAGGGTTTCATTTTGCGTAAGGCCGCATCACTTTATCCAGAGCCTGAGTTGGCCTGGGTTGGATGTTTTTTGGGTTTTTTTTTTTTTCAAGCATTTTGGTTCATAAGCAGATAACAACATACAGGTAATACAAATACTTATGTCATACCTTCAGGCGGAAAAAAAATGGTGAAGTTTGACAACTGATTCATACTACAGGTCAGTTCTGATTTTTAGTTTCCAACCCATGTTCTGTGCCACGTTCTGTTTGGCCAGTCTATGTTCTGGGCCATGTGGCTTTGCAAAAACAGTTTAATTGCCAATTATGTATCATTCAGAATCATGTTTCCTTAGTGGACATGTTTTCACTCAGCTGATACAGACACACACACACTCATCAGATGGGCGGAAGTTCAGATGCATGGGGATTCTGAAACGCACACACACACACACACACACACACAACCCCACTTTTCACAGAATATGGTTCTTTCCAGCCAAACGCATCATTGAATCAAAGCCACGGTGGAAAGCATCCAAGCTTCACCTTCTCATCTCGTGTTCTTATCCCTTTCGGTCCCCAGAGTAGTGCACAAGGAACACACACACACACACACACACACACACACACACATACTGCTTATGTTGTTGAGTTGTGCTGTTCATAAATGAACTGACTGAAGCTAAAAACAGACACGGTTGTTTTTGTCAGCTTGGAGTCGATGTTGGCCATCCTGTTTTTTCCTTCTCGTGTAGGCAAAGTGGCGTTCATGAGAAGAATTTAAAAGCAGCCACGTTGTTTTGTTTCTGGAAGAAAACAATTATGCAGAAGCTGAACCACAGAGCTGCGTGAAACCCTCCATATCATTTTGTTTCACCGTGCACCTTACCGTGTGGTAGGAAACATTTATCATAAGCAATATTTAAAATACCAGTTAACTTTGGAACCGACATTTTCCTGTAAACCGCCAGACAAATTTAAATCAAAAAGCAATGAATAATAATAACATTCATTTGACACACGACAGCCTCGCCTCTTGTAAGTGTAAACGATTGGCAGGTCTGACGACTACAAAGCCAGCATGCGGCGAAGGGTGATGATGCAATGTGATCGAGTGGCGTCCCTATTCTAAGGCGCATTTTCCGGAACCTTTCATCTTGGTGGTCTGAACTTAGGCCAAGGGCAGGGGAACAACAAAGACAAAGGCGAAGCACTACCTGCTAAGGGGAAGAATTGGAATTGAGCCTTTATTTACTTTATTTAATGAAATGATGAGACATGAAATCTACCGAGCAACAGATGGCTATGCAAAGGACCAAAGCGGTTTTGTTGCTGTTGTGTCTGTGTCTGGCAGCTATTTAAAATGGGTATTTTATGTTTTGTATTCTCATTGTGTTCAGATTGGAGCACGTGCCAACTGAGTCCAAACGCCGTGTGTGGGCAGGGAATCAAGACGCGCATGCTGGACTGCGTCCGGAGTGACGGCAAATCAGTGGACATAAAGTTCTGTGAGGAGGTGAGTTGCCTTTGACCCTCTCTGCATTGTACTTAATGACAGTGTGGAAATATTGTGCAGTATTCCCGTCTGTGCTTATGATGTTGTCGCTGCAGGTCGGGGAATTGTATTCATTTACAGCGAGTCTCTGGTTGCTTTAATTGTAGCCCGCGGTGATGTTTGGTTCATTCACAAAGCTCATGATGTTTGGTTGCTGCACATCATCAGACGGCTGCAAAAGCTAGTGGGAGTTGGAGTGCCACCATTCAGAGGCATTATAGCATAACAATGTAGCAAGACATCTTAGTGGAACATTGTCATGTCTTAATGGCATAACATTGTAACATAATTTCGTAGCATAACGACACAGCGTAACAGCGTAACATAACGATGTAGTGTCATGATGTAGCATCACAGCTTAGCATAATTTTATTTTTGTGTGTGTGTGTGTATATATATATATATATATATAATATATATATATATTTTTTTTTTATATATAAAATATATATATTTTTATATACACATATGACTCGTGTATTGACAACATTGCGGCGCAACCTCGTAAAGTTTCATCATACCATTATCTAGCCTAATTACATCGTGCAGTGACATAGCATAATGACGTAGCGTAATTACGCAGCATAATAACGCAACTTAATACCGACGTGATAACAGCATAATCTTAGCATAACATAATAGCTTAACGTTGTGCCCCTTCCGTCCTTTTAAAAAAAAAAAAAAAAAAAAAAAACTTCTCGTCCTCTATCCGCCATGCCAAAAATGGGTGTCGAATGGACCGTTCCATCCCAGAGACGGACTGCCCATCTCTGCTCTTAGTTACCGCATTATGCTGTTAGTGCGCTATGCTATTATCGTTGATGTGTGGTGTGTGTGCATGCATGTATGTGTGTGTGGGTGTACAGCTGGACCTGGAGAAGAAGTGGCAAATGAACATCTCCTGTGTGGTGGAGTGTCCAGTCAACTGCCAGCTGTCCGAATGGTCGACTTGGTCCGAGTGCTCGCAGACCTGCGGTTTAGAAGGTAAGTGATGTGCGACACTTTGATGCGCTAAAATTACTCAAATGTTGCACTATTTGTATGCAAAACATTAACAGGGACACAAGCATGTATACATATAAATAGGAAATATAATAATTTTGAAAAAAAAATAAAGAAATTGAAAAAAATTGGCCAATCATGTTCATGGCAGTGGGTAAAAGAAACCGAAAGTCGAAACCTCTCAAAATAACACGATTCAACTTATTGTCCTTTGTTGTTGAGCAATCACAGTAATGGGAAAAAGAAACATGAAGCATAAACCAACCAAAATAAACGATTGATATTTGAAGTCCTTTGTTGACAAAAAGTAAGACAAAAAAGCAACATGAAGGAGAAGCGAAAGAATAAAAGATCAATTGACCAATCAAATGCGTGTGTGAGTGCATCTGAGTGCGTGTCTCTTTAGATACGTGCGCGTGTATGTGGGATGAAAGGTGCTGATTGTCAAGGTGCGTGCACGTAAAATGGAAACGGGGTCCCTTTCATGACGTGCACTGTTACGCAACAATGTCTATTTTTAGACTTGTGCTCGCCTTTCATGTGATCAATGCTCTGCATTCGCTCGTTCAGAAAAAGTTTGCTGATTGATAAAGTGAAATAAGAAAAAATAAAACAACAGATGGCAAGAGCTCGCTAAAATTATACAACACGCTCAGTGACAAATGACACTTTTTTTTTTCCCTTCAGAGAGAGGTTATTTTCCGTTCCTGTAAAGACAAATGAGACCTTGCTGCACGGACACAGGAAGCAGTACACGGATTTATTAATGTGACCAACTGATGATGTCATTTCCTTCGGTGTGGTCCCCAGGCAAGATGTGGCGTCAGAGGTCTGTCGTGCAGGCCTCGCAGGGCGACGGTCGCCCGTGTTCATCGCCCATGGTGCAGTGGAAGCCGTGTCCGGTGCGGCCGTGCTACCGATGGCAATACAGCGCCTGGTCAGAGTGCCGTGTGGAGGTTTGTACAAGCCGTGGATGGATGTGCTCCATTCAACCAAAAGCTGTGTATCTTTTGCTCAGTTCTGTTTTCAATTTGCAATTGTGACTCCTTATTTTAGTTTTTGTTTTTATGAAACACACACGCGCGCACAAAATTTGGGCTCGAATTGAAAATGTCCCCAAACAGCCCCCTAAATGTTTCACGAAGTCTATTGTTCAAAGTAGTTTTCGTGTTTCCACATCCCGTTTGGGGACTCTGTAGCAAACGGTGTGCTAATCGCAAGCACCCATTTGATGTCTTCATATTTTGGGTCAGTTTCCAAATAAAACTCCACGACGCCCTCCCGCATGTAATTTCCTTCCATCCTTGCTGTGTTTGTTGACAGTTTGGTCAGTGGGCCACACTGACCCAAATGTACGTTATTAATATAAATGATTAATAACCGGGTTATCTCGCAAAACTGTTTTCTTGAAGGCCCCTTAGGGGCTCTCCAGATTTAATTGGTGCTGTTTATGTGACTCCCATGTTTGCCATTGCTATAAATATAACTGACAGATCATTTGATTGATGATGATCACGGTTCATGGCGACAAATAAGCGAGCGTAGCTTATGCTGCTCGTTACCAACCTTCAGAGCCACGTAAACGCGGCAAACTAAGTACATTGGGACCTTGAGATGAGTTTAATTCAGTGGCCTTTTTTTTTTCTCCCAATTTTGCATTTCCGATTTTAGCCACAAAATTTACATTGTGCAAACTCGGTCAAGTTTTATTTAACAAAATAATGAGTAACTTTTTTGGGGTTTTTTTTTTGGTTGCCAATTAAAAATTGAAAAAGTGAATGATGTGTGGATTATCCAGTCTCACAAAAAAAAAAAAAAGGCTTGATGACTGGCTGTAAATCAGTACATTGGTGTCCTAAAGCAAAAGTGATGAGCAGGGAGGAATGTGGGCTCAATGACCCATTTATCTGAGTTGTTCATCTTAATTAATTTTATGGCATATCCAATTATCAAACCTTTCCCTAAACCACACACCAAGGGGAGAAATTTAACAGCTCATGACTAGTATGGAAGATTGCGTAAAGTCAAACTGGATCATCAAGCTTCGCCGCCATGCTCCAATGATGAAAGGTATCATTCTTGCCAATGGACATTTATACATTTACAATTTTCTTTTTTGAACATTTGTTACAAGTGTGTCTTTCAAAGAAATGGCCAAATTGTCCTTTGTTCAGCCGTGGCATCTTGAGACTTTTTTATGGGTGTTCCCAAATTTCATTGAATGTGTCTTTGGGGTCTGGCTTTGAGAAAAGGGTCAAAATGATGCTAAAGTGGTATCTTCAAATCAAAATGGCTGACTACCTCTGCGTTTTCAGGCAAGCTGCCTTGATTTATTTTATTTTTTTGCGGGGGGTGACGGGGTATGCTCATTATAGACCTGCCCATCAAATTTCATGTCGTCCATTGAAACTGTCTTTGGGGGTGACTCACAGAAAATTAGGAAATTGATCGTAAACATGCTGCCCGCTGAATCAGCCACTGGTCTCGGTGGTCTTTCAGAGTGTGGTGTGCGGTCACGGGACGCGCTATCGAAACCTCACCTGCTTCGTGTCGGATGGCAGTGGTGGCGAGCAGGACAGTGGCGGCCAAGTGGACGAGGAGCTGTGCGGGAGTCTGGAGTTGTCCGTCGATGGAGATAAGCGCATCCGACTGAAGGAGGCCTGCATGCTTCCTTGCCCTGGTGAGGATTTCATTCCATTTGAAACCTCTCTCGATTTTCTGAAGTGAATTTTAGAAAGCATTTTTATTTTATGGCAATAGTACAGGACATTGATCTTGGACTGTATTGGGTATTCTTAGGCCACAAAAAAGTGCTTTGATTGAAGCTCTAACTGACAGACACCTCCCACTTTGAATCAAGATTACACTGTATGAAAAACATTTTTGTTATTTGCGGCGTAGGAAGAGATGAATGGAATTTCCATTCATTTACAAATGATCATACAAGTGTTTTGAATTCCAAGTGTGGTCATGAATATGAATTACACTCATGTCAAGGCAACACTGTAAAGAGCAAAATCAGAGCAACTCATCATTTATGCTGTGGTCTCTTCATTTCTTCCGTAGCTGTATAGATCTAGTGGGGATTCTTTCTATTTTCTGGAGGGTTGCTGCCACCATGATGGCAGGCGCCTGTCGTGTGTCAACTTTTGAGGAATCTTTATTCCCAAAAGCCTGACAGGACCCAGCAAAGCTCTTGAAATTTGTCGCCATTTTCATTTTTAACTGCTGCACATCTGCCATTATTGTCTCAGTTAGACAACACGGTAGACCGAAGACCCAATTTAGGACTGGGCTTGATAAGGCAGGTGATTGTCAACGGCGCAATTTATATTTAAGTCAGTGTTGGAGGGTTTTGTTGTTGTTGGGTTTTTTTATGTCAGTTTTTTTTTTTCCACTCCCTAAAGGCAAATTAGTGCTAGCTTGCTCTGCCAAAAAGAGCGGTGCACAAAGCTGCTACTTTGTTTCCAAAGTGTCTAATTTAACTCGTCACAGATTGTTCATCATTCTGGGGCGGAATAACTCAGATCGGTTTCTTTTAGAGGGCACAGACAGATCGAAAAGAGAAAAAGAGCAAAAACCGCACTGACAAAATTAGAAATGCTCTTAAAACAAGTACCATGAGCAAAACGTTTGTCTTATACAGCGAAACTAAAACAGGATAGCTGCTTCTGTAAGTTCTAGTCGCCACTTGAGCAGCATTTTTTATAAGCTAGAGCATCTTCGCAGAAAAAAAGTACCACTAAACAAAAATTTTTAAAAATGCCTTTTACCGTTATGCCAACAAGTCAGCAAAGCATCCTAGTGCTAGTTCTCATCGGCACTCAAGCAGCCTTGTAGACCATTTACAGTAACTTTTCCAAAATGTGTTCGGTTTGTGAAAAGGTATCAACAAATGAACAGTTGCTCTCTTTTATGGTGAATCTTAGACATGAAAATCTCTTGCCCTGGTTTTAGTCAGCACACAAGCCACAACCTGGACTTTCTGAAGCATATAGACAAGGAAAAAAAAAAAAGACCTACCACAATCTAAATATCGCTGTCGATCACAATAACGCCACTACAAAAGAATTAGGGATGCTTTCTTCAGATTCCAGTCAGCGCTCAAGGCCAACTGGAACATGTTTACAGGAGCCTTTTAGTTTCCTTTAAATTTTGAAGGTGAGAAGAGTGTGTCTGCTGGCTGGGAGCTGGCCCAGACACATCAGATGGGAGGAAGTTCAGTTGCATGGGAATTCTGACACACACACACACACACACACACACACACACGTTCATGCACTCTTGACCCGTGCTCTACTTTCTTTGTCCCCTGTTCACTATTTGACGAGCTGCACTTGTCAGCCGTCGTCAAATCCGACCTGCGCCGCATCCAGATTCCTTTCTACCTCCTCCTCCGCCTGCTGCTCAAATGAAAACCCAAGGATTCCAAGCACGTCTCACCTCATTCATCCGTTTCCCACGCAGCTCACCTCTGATGATCTCCGGCTGTTAGCACAGCCAGCAGGGTACAGGAAATGAATAGAAGTGTCGTGATGTGGCAGGAAGCCGCGCAGACAACGGTCATCGTCAGTTATCCGCCAAAGATTGGAGCTAATTGATTCCGTCCGGTCTTTTTTTTTTTTTTTTCAAGCTGCAAGTTGAAGCTTCCGAGAACCGAAACACATCATTAACCTTTCAAGCAGTTAAAAGGGTGTGAAGAAAAACAGCAGCCAGTTAGGACACGCAATCATGCGGCATTGATATTTGCGCTGGGGGGCGGAAGAACTCAATACACAGGACATCAAATGCCAAAACAACAGTTAAAAAAAGATAACGGTCGGAATTTGCATACTCTCGTTTAAACTTTTGTGCTCTCACCAAATCAAACTAATCATTCTGTAAAGTGATTTTTTTTCTACACACACACACACACACGCGCGCGCGCGCACATTTACTTCATAATTTATCATTTTGGATTATATTGGGTGTTTTTAGGCCACGAAAGAAAGGACCTCGCATCGGCTGTAATTGATGACTCCTGTCCCCTATTATTCCATTAAATCAAGGTTCCACTGTATTTAGAAAATGAGATGTCTTCAGTTTGTTTAGTATCTAAAATTTGGTCAGGTCAAACCTGATGATAGGTAGGAAAGTGAGGCAATTGATGACAACGTGGAACAACACATGTCCAAAGAAGTCAAATTATTTCAAGTCAAACGACAATCAGGGTGTTTTTGTCCTGTCAGGTGAGTGCTACCTGATGGAGTGGTCCGACTGGAGCTCCTGCGTTAGAATCTGCGCCAAAGAAGCCGGCGTGGATTTCGGTTCGGTTCGGGTGCGCTCACGAGCCGTGTTGGCCCAGGAGCCGGAGAACCTGCAGCTGTGTCCTGACCAGGCTTGGGAGTCGCAACCCTGCACAGGTATAAAATATGTGAAGTCAAACCGGCTGATCGATTTCAAATGAAAGCTGGCTTTGAAGAATTTTCCAAAAATCACATTCTTGGTTTCTGGCCCTTACCACCCTTGGTTTCCACCAGGATGTCTTTGACCCTTTCAGGGACAGCGGTTACTTCAGTGGACAGCCTATCAGGTTACAGTTTATTATTGGTGCATTAAAGGGTTAAAGCACCCAAACCAAAGTGGGCAACTTCCTGTGTCTTTTCAGGCATGACTTCTTGAGAGGTTTTGTTGGTCTAGTCTAGAGAGACATGCCGACCAAATTTCATGTTAACAAGTTCAACTGGCTTTGGGCGCTGAATGTTCCAAGGACGGCAGTGTCCCTTTTTATCTCGACCAGACTCACTTTCCCCCAGATTGAAAATCTTTAAAGGGCTCCAACTCGAATGAACCACTTTCTGTGCATATCCAGGCATGGCTTCTTGACTTTTTTGTGGGTCTCATCTTGATGGACATGCCTATGAAATTTCACATTGCGATGCAAAGTCAAACTGGCCGGGGGCTCCCATTTTCGAAAAATTTGCGGGTTCGCTATCAAGGCCTCGCAGACTCAATTTCCACCAGGATGCTTGCGATGTCGAGAGAGGCTGAAGTGGCGTGAGCTCCCGCAGATGAACGAGAGTCCCTGGATGGCGAGTCGTGATAGCCACTTCTTTGTCCAAGGTTAAATTGTTCATTTCCTCTGGCTGAGTCTGCAGAGACGCTGATACTGATATCATCTCTCAGCACCACTGATAGACGCTCATTAAGACGAGGTTCTCAGTGAACAATAAAACTCTCCGCTGCACTCTTTTGACATTTAGACCACTACATGTCCACAACTTCACAAGTGCTTTGTGATCATTTGTCTTCACATGATTTTATTTATTTATTTGGGTGGGGGTTCTGTCATTTTAGAAGGCGAATGTTTCGAGTACAAGTGGCTGAGCAGCTTGCGGCTCAACTCCTCGCGACCGTTCATCTGGTGTCAGCGCTCTGATGGACTCAACGTCACTGGTAAGAACATTAGAGTCACTCTCCAAGAAACACAAAGCATGAAGAAACTCAACTTTTAAAGCCACATTACACGAGGTTTGCTTTATGGCAGCACTTTTCAACTTTAGCACGAAGGACGTACCCATCACAACATTGGGAAGCCATTTTGAGGACAAACTCTTGTACAAGTTTTGTCTGGTTGCTACCAAATTAGATTTATTTTATTTTATTTTTTTAGACAGATGGATCATGTTAGTATGCATTTTAACTTTGTCATTGCATGTGGCCAAAGCTTGGCAGCAGAGATTGTTGATGAGCCGAAACACAACAAAAAACTCAAATCAAATAAAAATCCCAATACCAGAGCCAGTTTAATGTTTTGAAAATTCGGCCTCCAAAGCCAGTTTCATTTAATAACATGGAATTTGGTAGGCCTAGCTATCATGAGTAGACCCACAAAAAATAAATACAATAAAATACTCAGCCACGCCCCAAAGTACTGCCATGATTTTGGTTTTAGATGGGGGGATTTTCACGGATCCTTTTGTGTCATTGCTACCAAATTGGAACTACACATAATATATTAAGACAGATCAGTATCACTAAGCTACTTGATTTTTACATTTGGGGTTGTGGGGGAGTATTGCGTGTGGACGACGCATGGAAGCAAAATTTGACAGAAAAACTCAAAACTCCATCAAGTCAAAGACAGTTTGAATTAGCAACATGAAATTTGGTAGAAATGTCCGTCATGCCATTATCGCTCTTCATTTGGATCTTGCTGTTTTTTGCTTTGTTTTTTTTTCCCCTTAGGGGGCTGCCTTCCCGCCACCCCTGTGATGGACGACAGTGCATGCAACCCACCATGCGTCCCCCCAACGTCTTACTGCAGCGAGGTCAGTCAACTTGAAGTAAAGAGTGCAAGGCAGGAAGTCAAAGTCTGGTGTACATTCAAAACACAAAATGCAGCAAAATCCATCAGTTCTGTGCTGCCCCCAGCAGGCGGGCGTTTGCATGTGCGAAGAAGGCTACACGGAGGTGCTGTCGTCCGGCGGGCTCCTGGACCAGTGCGCCCCCATCCCCATTCTGGAGATCCCTACGGCGGGAGACAAGAAGGGGGACGTCAAGACCAGCCGTGCCGTCAACCCCACGCTGACTTCTACCACACAGCCAGGACGATCAGGACGCACCTGGTACCTGCAACCCTACGGACCAGGTCACAATCATCTTTATTCATGTTGTACGACTAGAACGGGGACTAAACTATACACTTTTTCGAATCCGCTTTTCCTCACAAGGGTCGCACGCGTTCTGGAGCCTATCCCAGCTATCTTCGGGCAGTAGGCAGGTTACACCCTGAACTGGGTGCCAGCCATATCGTAGGGCACACATAGACGAAGAACCATTCATGGTCACACTGCCCCTCTGCACTGTGAGGCGGACGTGCTAACCAGTCGTCCACCGTGCTGCCCAGGACTAAATTAACAAGGCACAATAGTATGCAGGGGTGGTTCTTGGTTCGAAGTTAGTTAATCAGAGACACGCTCACTAAGATGAAGTTTTGAGACTTTTTGGAAAGTGTATATTTCTAAAATTTGGGGGTGTTCCCCTTTATTTAAAAAAAAAAAAAAACGTGTACAAAAACTCTAGTGCACAAAAAATAAAAATTATAAATGTAAAAATAAAAATTATGTTTCCTCCCACATTCCAAAAACGTGTGGCAGGCTAATGGAACACTCTAAATTGCCCTTAAGTGTGATTTTGAGTGCAAATGGTTGTTCATCTGTGTGCCCTGCGATTGGCTGGCAACCGGTTTAGGGTGTTCCCCGCCTACTGCTCGAAGACAGCTGGGATTGCCTCCAGTGCAACCGTGACCCTCGTGAGGATAAACGGATTAGAGAATGATGGATGGAAGGATGGATAATATGGTGATAACAATAAAAACTGATTTTTAAATTTTTTTAATTTTATTTTTTATTTTATTTTTTTATGAATAAAAAAGTAAAACGTGTGAGCCAAGCCAATCACTCCTCCTCCTCCTCTTCCCTCACAGATGGTAAGATGAAGATTTGGGTGTACGGCGTGGCGGCGGGAGCCTTCGTGCTGCTAATCTTCATCGTGTCTATGATCTACCTGGCTTGGTGAGTTCTCCTCTTCTCCTTCCTTTTCCACCTCTGCCACCTCATCATCATCACCATCACCACGGTCACCTCCTTCTATCCTCTCCCGTCACCCTTCTAACGGCGGGTGCAGTAGTTACTGCGCCAAGGTGCATCGCTCTCTGGCCTCCCAGGAGTGCCACGCCAACGGAGCGGCAGTGTGGACGGGACAACAAAATGCCCATGGGATGGTGTACACCTGTCCCGACTGCCAAGAGCTGGCTCAGAGCAGCGGCAGCTAATGAAAAGAGCCACCTCCTCCTCCCCCGCCCAAGAAAGTCTCTTCTCCCAGCATGCCTTGCTCAAGTGCCGACAGCCCCTCCCCTCACGTGGTCTGCCTGATAGCCAAGGCAGCTCGTTGGAATAGGTGAGGACCATTCGCCTGTAGACCAGTGTGGAAAAGTGAGGAAAGCTCAAAATATTTATGACCTTATGGGTCATAAATATTTAATAATTACTTGAATGACTCGAAAAATTCGATTGCAACAATTGGTAAGAAAAGAAACCGCAAATAATCGCATTCATCCACGAGCTGCCACAACTCACTCCACACGCAGACTGTAACCAGCCAGCCAGTGTCATTCCTTGACACCCACATCACTCACCAGGCCAGGCCCCACCTTTTAAAGTCTCGCATACTAATAGTCACAGATACGACCAAATAAATTTGAGGATGTTAGTCCCCGTCTCAACTCGAAGAAAGAAAAAAGAATTCTAAACCTCTCTCAAATTTTGAGGTTGCTTGGATTCACTTTCGGGATGCTTGAGCACCCCCAAAAATTGTCTGAACATGCCTACGGTACTGCTTAAGCTCAATGTTAGTATAGTAATTTAAATGCTTAAATGTTATCTTGACCAAATACAGCCCACTAATTTTGGGCTGGAATAACATCTGCAACATGTTGCTGGACTCCTTGCAACACAGATGTGAGGCAATGAGATTTACTCACTTTTTAAACACTGATTTTAAGTAACGCCAAAACCATAGTTTTCATAGCTAGCTAGCTAGCTAGCTAGTTCGATAGCTAGATAGATCGATAGATAAATAGATAGATAGATGTTGCCTTGCTGCCCTCGTGAGGCAGAGTCATGCCATTGCACTCATCTTCTTCTCCATCGTTTGTGTTGATTCCATTTTCCAATAGGGGGGAGCATTGTCACATTTGTGGCTTCAGTGAAATAGAAACGGCACTCATTGTCCACTTCATTAGGTACACCTGTACTGTACAATCTAATTGATGTGATCCAAAAAGATGAATGGTGAACGATTTTGACTTTTGATTGGCATGTCTGGAGAATTAGAATATTGATGCGTCCACCCCCAGAGTATCTGTTTAATCTGAACATATTGGAAAGGCTATAGAGTGGACTGGATTATTATTATTATTATTATTTATCATAATAATCACATTAATACAAAATATTAGACAAACAGTACTAAAAGAAAATAAAAACAAACGAAAAAAAATGGAATGGGTGAAAACGTACACAAAATTCAAAACATTTGAAAATATTTAGTTATATACAGTATATATATATATATATAGAGAGAGAGAGAGAGAGAGAAAGCCAGAATTGAAAAGATAATATAATTTTATAAAATTATTCATTAAAAAATTTTTTTTGATCTACAAAAATTGCTCAAAGTTTAGAAATGGGCCATTTTGGGTTTGAAGTCACCATTTTTTTGTCTGCTTTTGTCAGTGGATTTAGCGGAGAAAGTCCAAAAGTTCAAAGCACAGTTGCACCTTGTATCAGTGTGCTGGTGTACCTAATGTTGTGTCCAGCGCTTACATCTGCGTAATGTGACAGCGTCCCTTGACGCTTCCCCCAAATAATAACCATAATGTGTGTTTTCCCGTGTGTGCAACCGGCAGCAAGAAGCCAAAGCGACCAGAGCGAGCGAGGCAGCAGCAGAACAACCGCCTCAAACCTCTGACGTTGGCCTACGATGGCGACACAGACATGTAGTCACAGCTGCACGCCGGATGCTTTTTTTTTTTTTCCAATACAGCATGAAGGCGAGACAGTAAATCCTCTTAGAGCACGTCTGTGTTTCAAAAAGTGCTCTCCCCAATCACACTTTTTTTCACCTTCATGACCTCTGCAAGCGTTGAGGCAAATGCCTTTTTTTTGTCATTCACCCAACCAAGACTTCTCCTCCCCCCCACCCACTCCCACTTTCTTTCCGCTGAGCCGCCGCTGGAGGCTTTAACGGGATATGTTGCATCCTCCGTTGCCAAAAAAAAAAAAAAAAAGAAAGATGAGGATGAGGGATGAAGGGGAGGAAAATCTCCATAAAGGGGTTTAGAATCCCTTCCTTAGCCGAATCCTCTGGACAAAAAGGGGACGCCAACCTCTCACTCTCTTGTGCTTTTGTGGTTGTTGTTGGATTGGAGCGGCCATTGCGCCCCTCTCTGTCTCTGTCTCTCGCTCCCCTCCACCCTGGCCGCGTTTCAGGCGCTAACGTGCACTATATTAGTGCAGCACATGAACGATGATGCCATATAAGAGGGAAGATTGCGGCAAAACACGCAGGGGTCACTTGCAAAGGAGCCTTAGGGACACACTTAGCAGGAAAAAGTTGCATATATGTGTGTGTGTGTGTGTGTGTGTGTGTGTGTGTATAATTGGCAACTCCTCTCCAAAATCAGATTTTAATAACTTTTTTTGTCCATCAATGCGACTTCTTTATATTTAAAAAAAACATTATTTGCGTTAAATAATTACTTTTAAAAAGGAAAGAAAGAAAAGACTTGAAAAAAAATTTGTTGTTTAAGATGACTTTTTTCCTCAAAAAGTACAGGTTTATTCCCATCATGGATTGACATTTTTCTCACGCATATATATATATTGTGTGTACTTTTCTCTCTGTTTAAGGAAAAAATCCATTTTTGTTTTACATACTTTGCCTTTTTTTTGGTCTTATAGAACTCTGACATTATTCTGTTAAGACTACAACAATTTTATTGAAAACAAAAAACACAAAAACATTTCTCTAGAAAAAGTTAATTTTTATTTCCAAAAGATCATACCTTTTTTTAAGAATACACATTGAGCAAAAATATCAATGCAACACTTATTTTTGCTCCCATTTTTCTTGAGCTGAAGTCAAACAGACTTCTATGTACACAAAAAAAAAACAATTTCTCTCAGATACTGTTCTAAGTCTCTGTTAGTGAGCACTTCAGCTTTGCCTTCCGCTTTGCCTTTATTATGATTTCTTTCTCTCACAATATTCGATTTTGTTTCCCCCCCAAAATGCAACTTTTCGCTTGAAACATGCAACTTTCTTGAATGATGTCTTTTTTTCTTTTCAGTGTGGCCCTAATGCTCCTTTGTAGATAATCATCAAAACTGTATAGTTGTTTTTTTACCAGGTTAAAAAAAAGAACCTTTTGTGGTTTGTTGAAGTCGTCTGGTGTAACATTTGTTTCTGCCAAGATGAAGCTTAAAAGGTCTCACTCATCTTTCTCCATATTTCGGCAGGCATTTTGATTTGAAGCGGCCATTTTGAGGGTGATTAGGGCTATTTCCAAGGAAACTTGAAAATCTTCAAAAATCAAGGCCCCGAAACTGGTCTGACTTACTTAGCAACGTAATATTTGGTAAGCAAGTCTATCATGAACCAACCCACAAAAAAAAAACCTCATAATACCCTTGTCCAAAAATGCACAGAAAGTCTGCCACAAAGTTTTGAAGCAGTCATTTATAGGCATTTTGGCAATTTCCAGGGGCCCAGTAACAACAAACTCCTCCTTTTCAGTCGAGTGTGTCAAATTGCTACCATATTTGTAGCACATACACTTACCAGAAGGATGATGCTAACCTGCAAATTTAAAAAAAATTTTGTCTTTGCATGTGGGCTGAGAAACATGAAATTTGGTAAGCATGGTTATCTTGAATAAACCCACGAAACGTCTCAAAAGGCCATGCCTGAAAATGTACATGTCTGACATTTTGGTTTTAAAACAGACATTTCAGGGCCGATTTGGTCATTTTCAGGAGTACTTAAAAACATGTTCAAAATTAAGCCCCTCAATCCAGTTAAAGATAACTGCATGAAATTTGGTCGGCATTTCTTTTATTAGTAGATGCATGAAAAAGTCTCAAGAACCAATGTCCGAAAGGACACACTGAAGTTTGAAGCGGGCCGGTTCTGGATCATATTGTTCATTTCCAGCGGTTCTTCCGAGTCAAACTCCTCCAGCACCTTTTGTTTGATTCCGACCAAATTTATAGCCGACATCCAAGATAGATGGCAGATCCAAAATTATGAAAAGTTTTTGTTTTTGCCGTTGTTTGCACGGAGCACAATGACAACATTTGATGATTCAGCATTAAAACACCGAAACGCCCCAAAGGTATTCATTGGTGCCTCCTTTGGGCAGAAAATGCAATAAGTCCTCGCTCCTGAACGTACCATCTCCTTTCCAACTTTTCTTTTATTTGCCTTACTGACGACCACTTGCAAGTTTTCTTCTTGAAGGGGTCCAACTAACATGCAGTCACTTCAAAAATGATCACTGATGAACATTATGTGTTTTTCATATAAGCTTTATTATTATTGATGACATGGGAAAAAAGGCTGATGTCAGACATTGTTTACGCTGGTGGATTGATAAAAAAATTTTTTTTTTTTTTAATTTTGAAGGGTTTTCTGTGCAGATGAAGAACGTTAAAAGGTATGTGTAAATTTATTTTGTATTACACAGAAAATGTTTAGTTTGAATATCGCAAAAGTGGATGTATAATATTTTTTGCTGTCCTGATGCAAGTTCTGTGGTGGGAGAAAAAAAAAAAAAGACGACGCCAAAAAAAAAAAGAAAAAAACGTTCGTCGGTTTTGTACAGGTTGTTTGTGTGTGCGGGAAGAAAATACGGTAATAAACAAGGACACGGTGACAAAACATATTTGTCCTTTTTGTCTCTTATGCTAGGTGGAAGAAATACCGGTAAATCGAATCCATTTTACAAAGAAAACCAAAAAAACGATGTCAAGGATGAAAATGGTCACATCACTCTTGACATCTTTAAAGGTCCTGCGTGTGATTTTTCTAATGCTTAGCTGTCTGTGATGCCTGGTATCTTTTGTTTGGTATTATATATATAAAAAAAAAAAAGAATAATGCTCGTGTAATATAGAACATCCAAAAAGGCATAATACCCCTTCATTCTTTTGTAACGTTTTGTTGTGTTACCTCATTGTTCCAAAATGGAACTTTCCAAAAAAAATTCGAAAGACGTTACATCAAATAACTTGTAATAGACAGGCTAACGAATAGCATTGGTGTCGCGGTGTTATAACCCCTTAAACAACGGATATTTGAACGCAAATGTTGGTGCAACAGAGGCAGGTAGTTGAACAATACTCAGACATATATTCTTTATCCTCTGTGACGAACGACTAATCTTACTAAACTCTTACTGACGAGCTGAAGAGCATCTCCGTGTACAATATTCATCTATCTGTATTATTCTGCCCCAAGGTGGCCAAGGCACTTGCACCAGAAGGAGCAGCACCATGTCTACTGAATTGCAGCAAGAAATGTTGCAAAGTATAAATACAATTCCATTGAGATGATCACTGTATGTTTTAACAAAGTATAACGAGTGCTATTTGCCCTATGAAATAACACATGACAGACGGGGGGCTGGAACGGATGAATGACATTTCCATTCATTTCAATGGGGAAAAATGATTTGATTGATTGTTAGAACAAAGTCAACTAATGTCTCACGGCACTACTGTTTGTATTTTTAGTAGAAAAGTGTTCAAAACCCAGTTTTGCCATAATAGGTGATGTATTTTGCGTGGAGTTTTGAGGAAAAATTATCATTTGAATCCAGTTTGGGATCAAGATGCAAATGTAACAAAATGTTCATGTGACACTTTTAAACGTGTTTTGTGCAATGTTGCCGAAGCTAATGCAGCCTCAACATCGACCGTTTGCCTTTCATTTGTTCTTTGCGGCTATTCAGAGAAGGCAAAGCGTCCCCTTGCGCTACAGTGACGCTAATAGAGTTGCAACGTGATGCTTTATGCATCCGAGAGCTCCCTTTACCTTAGCAGTGATGCTATCGCGCTGCATTGGAGTGTGACGTGCTGCCATTTACGAGATTGATTTTGACCTTTTGTTTTATCTTTGCTCTTACTGCTCTTCTTTTGTGTGTGTGTGTGTGTGTGTGTGTGTGTGTGTGTGTGTTTATCTAAAAGGTTTTGTCTCACAACCTGAATGACAAATTGAATACTGAATATGCCGTCACTGCTTTTATTACATACACAACTGTAGTATTTTAACAAAGAATTGTGTTGGTGTTGTGATATGTTCATTTGGGTTTTTCATGATGCGTGGTTTTTTTTTTTTTTTTTGATAAGATAGAAGACATCAGAAGACTTTATTGATTGAGTTGTCAGAGCAGCATCATAGAAGGACCAAAAAGGTCATGACAGTGAACCATTTTACATGTAAAAACTATTCATACGATAGCATGCGGTGTATTGAAAACTGAACAGACAGTGTCTTTCTAAATACAGACACTATATGCATGAAAAAATGCGAAAATGTACAATGCAAGTTTGACAATTAAATTTTTACTTTCATTACATTTTGATTTTTAATTTTTAAGATTTCCAACTCATTTCTTTATTCATTTGATTTAATTCATTGAGTCAATTTTATTCGTGTTTTGATTGATATATTTTTATTATTGTCTATATTTTTGGGGAAAAAATCATAAATGCTTGCATCAATACATATTTTTTAATATATACACTGAAAACTAAAGTTTTGTCTGCTTTTTATTGGTCCTTATAATTTAACATGTATTTTTGATTACTTTACAAACGATCATTTATATTGTTTCACATTTTAATCAATAGTCTAGTTTATCGTAGTTTTAAATTCACCATTGTACTCTATTTTTGCATTGTTGTATGTTGGGTTTTTCAGTGCAAATTGGTATTTGTCTTTTTCTTGATGTTTCTTGTCCCCAAGTCAGTTGCAGTGCAGTCGAGCACCACTTGGGGGCAGCCTGACGACATCACAAGTTCTCAGAAGTACATCATACCCACGGCCCCCACCCCCAACCCCCATCCTGCATCCCTGCATGCGAGTATAAAGCATCCCCTCCACACGGACGCTCTCAAGTACAAATAGCGCAGCGTCGCCTCTGAACGCAACATCTATTCTACCCCCTACCGAGAACACCCTCATCATCATCGTCGTCATTCTACCTCGGGACGCCAACCCCCCCGCACACTGCCCCCTCACTCCGGCCCTGCACTTTATTTCAAGTTGGTTCAGCAGGAGATTTTTGGGGCACTTTCTTTCCCCACATCAGAGAGGACGACAGCTGGGTTGAAGCCAGGCAAGACGCTCGGTGGTCCGAACATGTCGACCGCATGGTGCTGCTGGGCTCTGCTGCTGTCAATCATCTCTCTGGTGAGCAACTCCCGCGTATTAATTCAGATTTGATCACGTACGTGATCATCTTTTTTTATTATTTTTTTGCAACATTTTGCTTCAGAGTCCCGCTGAGGTTCTATTGGGAGAAGAAAACCAGGTTCGACTTGTAATCAAAAACGTGGTCTGCTCCAATGTGTAGCTGAACTTTGATTTAAATTGAAGGAAAATGATCGACATTTTAAACACCAAAGTTGGGGGGGGGGGTCACATTGAATAAGTGAGTTTAAATTAGAAAATGGATCGACATTTTAAATATCAAGGGGGGGGGGTCACATTGAATAAGTGAGTTTAAATTTAAAGTGAAGAAAAATTATTGTCACTAATTTGACTCATATTTTGGAACCATTTAAAGAACCAGTGTGTAATTATTCCAAAACTAATGCTAAGCTAGCTGTGAGAAGTTTGATTTGAAGTAAGAAAAGAACATGTTCGAAACAATTAGACTTGAATGTTTTTTTTTTCTATACCAATAAAGGACTGTGTAATTTTCCCATAATTTATACGATAGGTAACATTTTTAATTGAAGAAAAACTGATTAGACTTGCAACAATTGTTTTGGACCCAAATGTGCAGTTTTCGCTCAACTAATGCTAAGCTATCAGTGATCATTTTTATCTACCAATGTAATTGAAGAAAAACCAATTAAGAGGGTCAGTCGTTTTATTCTGATGCTAATGCTAAGATATCGGTAATAATAAAAAATATTTTCTCATACAATTTGGACTTCAAATCATCACGTTATTTTGAGTCCATTGTTAATTATTAAATTCAGCAAGAGTATTCTGACATCATTAAAGGTCCAAAGATGCGGTCCAAAGATCAGGCTAAGTTAGCTGTGAAAACTTTTTTTTTTTTTAATTGAGTGAAAACTTGAATGAATCATGTTTATTGACATTAAACGGTCATGTATGTCATTCTTTTTCTGAGGCTTTCTGCTAAACACTTCATAAGGGAGCGAAATTCATAAAGGAAGCCCCTAAAATCCTCTCAAGAAGTCCCTAAAACCAAAGCCGAAGTACTAAAGCTCAGATGAAACTTAAACCCTCAGTGGGCAGTTCAAGCTTTGTCTCTTGGTGAGCGAACTAACTCTGAGGTCATTTCTAAATCCTCGGTATAACGAAACTGATCAGTCAGAGACCTAAAACCTTTATGAAAGTCCTGAACCACTGAGACATGAATATGGCTTAGACAGATTTTCAATACTGTTAACACCCAAACACTTACTGGAGGACTCGAACCTTTAATGGAAGCTCCAAGAATGTTTAATGGAAGTCCTTAAAACCTTCGTAGAAGTCCTAAATCCTAAATAGGAGCACGAAAACCAAAGAAACCCTCAACTGGAATCCTTGATCATTGTTTTCTCTTCTCCCAGGAAGATGATCTTGACTTAGTTGGTCATCTTTTAAGTTAATCAAAATAGGAACTATCAGCCCCAATTATAAACACACTCAACAGTCATTACAGTAATTTTCCAAAAATGTACTAAAAGAAATCAATATGGACAGTATACATTTTCCATCAGTATAATCAACGTATTTTCTGCAGCAGGAGCACCACGGGGAAGTTAAAAGAAAAAAGAAAGGAAAAAAAGTGTACGTCTTGACGGTTTGTGACAAGCCAATTGCTTTAATCCCGCGTGAGCCGGTAACCCCGCCACCTCGCCATCCCGCCGTCCCGCCTGCTCTGATGAACGCATCAACAAAGCAATCGGCGGAGAACAGCGGCCATAATCCGCGTAAAAACTTCACTTAAAAAGCTCCCGCGGCGTTATCAGTGTTTAATTTGCATAGTGATGGAAAGAAGTCAATTACTATTAATTATTCTCTACAACTTCATTCCCATTATCCAATTGAATTTGCCGTCTTGAAAAGCATAAACTCAATTTCACAGCTGGCTAAACTCGCTAATCATTTACCCCCACCCACCAACCATACACACCGCCGCTAAGAAACTCATTGATTGTCGCATCCTAAACTCCTGAAGAACAAGTGGCGGGCAGTCAGGGACAGCTGTCAGGGACTGCTGGCCGAAACAATGTCAGAATCATTAACCAACGGTTTTCAACTTCATTTCAATTCTGTGATCAATATTGTTTTCAATAAGATTTCCGACTCTTTTTGTTGCGATGTCAAAATAATCTACTCGGGGCCTTCAGTCGTGTTGGATCCATTGAATTTTAACCACCAAGTGTTCAGCACTTTTTTTGCAGAAGATACACCCTTAAAACTGCTGGGTCAAAAATAACCCCGATGTGGTTAAAAATTACACCAACTTGCAACTTTGGACCATTTGACCGAACTTTCTGGGTTCTTTTTTGACTAAACAACCCAGACAGTTGGATCTATTGGATCCAAGTACAATGGTACCTCTACTTACAAACGTCTCTTCATACGAAATTTTCAAGTTATGAAATGCCTCAACAGGAAAATATTGCCTCTTGTTATGAAAGAAATTTCAAGATACGAAAGGTAAAAGAATACAGTATGGGCTTCCAATTACAGCTCCGAGTTTCCTGAACGCAACATACTTATAGCTGCTCTGCCATTGGCTACTCCCGAGCATCATCCTGGCTTCCCATTGGCTAAGAGGGACCTCTACCGCATGTGTCTATGTGTGTCAATAGATAAATAGATAGAAATGTGTCTTGGCAGCGTCCTCGTCATTCGCCCCTCGGGCCATGAGACATTCTGATAGTTTTAGCTCAGTGGTTCTTAACCTGGGTTCGATCGAACCCCAGGGGTTCGGTGAGTCAGTCTCAGGGGTTCGACAGAGCCTCTGCCATGGAGGGTAAGACACACGCGACTCAACATGTTAATTAGTTATGACACGCCCGCTTGGCTACCACTGGCTGCAGATGATCACATGACATGGTTTGTCCAATCAGTGCTGTGGGAAATTTAGTTCGCTTTGTAGTCAATCAATTTTTTTAAAAAGTATACTTGTCCCTTGAAATGTGATTAACTTTTTTCTGTTTTTAATAAATGCGTGTTCTTTTAATATCTTGAATTTGTAAAAAAATATATATGTACACCAGTCCGGCGATCGCTCACAATGCTGATGTTTGCCTTGGACATTTTCAAAGGGTTGTTAAAATCCGACAAAAGCAAACGTCCTAGGATCAATTCTTTACAAAGCACCAGGCAAAAACCACCTCTGAGAGAGAACATGAACTCCGGCCTTCCTGTGCGGACTTTGCGTGTTCTCCCCGTGCCTGCGTGGGTTTTCTCGGGGTACTCCAGTTTCCTCCCACATTCCAAAAAAAACGTGCATGACAAGTTAATGGAACACTCTAAATTGTCCCGAGGTGCGAGTGTGAGTGCGGATGGTTGTTTGTCCATATGTGCCCTGCCATTGGCTGGCAACCAGTTCAGGGTGTACCCCGCTTACTGCCCGAAGACTGCTGGGAGACACCCCACGACCCTTGTGAGGATAAGCAGATCAGAAAATGGATAGATGGATGCTATAGATTAAATGCCTGGCACAGTTGGGTGCTGGTATCTTTGTTTTTTGTTTTTTTTTTTTGTTTTTTAGAGAGAATTAATGTTTCAAGAGTGCGGTTAGGCCAGGTCAGTACGAGGTACAAAATGCACTGCCTACCACTGCAGAACACAGATCATAAGACGTGTACGTCACATGTTCTCGTAATCATCACGTTTCCCCCACGGGAACCTTTCCAAATCTCTTTGAAGCTAGTGTGGAGAAAGTCTGATTATGCGTTTTCTCCCGTGGCTACCTCCAAAAGTGCAAGCTAGTTTCTTGGTCCTCGTCTTCAAACCGGTTCCTCTCGCATATCATGAGTGTGAGGTCACGCCGGTAATTGTGGCCCCGACTCCTCTGGAGATAAGGCACCTGTGATTTCCTGACACTCTGATTTGTCATCTTCTCCGATGCCCTCAGGTAGCACTTTGATACAACAGCTACACCCACCTAGTGAGGCCCTGGAAGCCCGTTGAAACTGAGTGCATCGCTCAACAAATTTTGTAGAAGTCCTTCAACCTAAAAAGAAGGACCTAAACTCTTCATGGAAGCCTCCAAAACAATGACTGGTTTTAGGAGGTGTTCTAAAGCAGGTCTAAACCGGGGGTCGGCAACCCGCGGCTCAAGAGCCGCATGCGGCTCTTTAGCGCCGCCCCAGTGGCCCCCTGCAGCTTTTGTAAAAAAAAATTGAAAATTGAAAAAGATGGGGGAGGGAAATATATTTTTTGTTTTAGCATGGTTCCTGTAAGAGGACAAACAAGACAATCATTCTTAACATTTTCCAATGCTTTAAAAATGTGTTAATAGGTTGCATTAGGCATCCACTAGATGGAGCTAAAGGCAATACAATACAGCTTTATTTATAGCGAGCTTTCACAACTGCTGCAGCTGTAACAAAGCACTTTACAGAGCATTTAAAATACTACGTCCAATAAATGAGAATATTGATCCATATATAAGGCGCATTGGATTATAAGGCGCACTGTTGGCTTTTAAGAAAACTGAATGCTTTTAGGTGAATTCAATTTCAATACATAATTCCATGACAGATGTTTTTTTTAAGTTCAGTATGCTTTCCCGTTTACTCTTAACCCTTTCATGCACCAATAATGATCACCTGTAACCCGATAACATGATAGGCTGTCCACTGGAGTAACTGCTGTCCCTGAAAGGGTTAAATCCAATCAAGCATTTGCCAGATGTGATGTAAACACACTATTTGTATCCAATCGTAGAGCACTGTATCGAATATATGAATACATACCACATATATTTCAGCAACCACTGGAGTTTGCCCGCTCTATGTGCTCCAGTTACGCACATTTCAAATCGCACACACTTGCCATTAAGGCCATTGCGTGTGTGTGTGTGTGTGTGTGTGTGTGTGTGTGTGTGTGTGTGTGTGTGTGTGTGTGTGTGTGGGGAGTCGGTATAGAATGTGGCGGCACTTGTTTATCTTCAAAGTGCGGCGGGCGGCCTACGTGTGTTATCTCCCGGC